GTAAAACACTATTAATGTGCAATGTCACCTGGTGCATCGTACAATCATTCACTACTTGTTATACCTGGCAACTTCGCTCAAACTGGCAGCATGTTTCAGCCCGAGGATCGCTAACGTTTCCGTTCCTGTGAAGATAGTTGCTAAAATTAGCAACGAGAAGTTCATATGTAGAAGCGGGAGTAAATGGTACTTGTCATCAAGTATCAGGTAATCCGTACTTATGGGGAAACTCTTCAAACGTGTTTCATTCGTCGGCAGAATTCTCTCATAAACAAAGATTGACGTGTAATAGAATATACCGATTGCTAATGAGAGATAAAAAACCGCTGTAACACATGTACGGGAGATTAAAAAGCTCAAACTATATCAATTCTTATGTGTAGTATTTTTCCAAAGATGTCGCTTACATCCGAATCGTAATCCGTAGACTTTTGCCATGTAAGCGTGTTTTTCCATAATCTCAAGTGCCTCGCCGTGTTCCATTTCCATGTCACGTTTTATTTTATCCATAAATTTTTTCGCCTATGTTTATTTACACGATTGATCTGTACTTTGCAAAATGCTTACAAGCAAATTGTTATTTAAATGGACAATCGAGTACTTACTGTAGGAAGTTGATACCAAGTTATATTGTACCTTGCAAAAGAGCCCAAGCTCATGAGTACGAATGAAACATACTTTAGCATAAATTCCCCCGTTTTGAAGACTATACACTGGAAAACGTAATGAATTAATATTGGAAATATTCACAGAAATTGACGAATATTTCCGTTCAATGAAAGCAAACACAATATACAACATATATAAGATTTAAAAGAATACAATTTAATTTAATTTAATTATTGTTTCTCTTTTTACTAATCTATTAACTGGACTATTCGTTATCAAAAATTTTTATGATCATGGGATTAATAGAAACAAATCAATTGCTACTGAATTGAAAAATTTTGAAAAATATTGTGTAATAATAAAAAATATTTGTACAAACATAGAAATTAAAAAAGAAAACGCGCCACGATAGTGGATCTTCAGTTAACGAGGTTCAGATTTTGAAACCTTCACGCGGATTTAGACCGTTTTCACATACCAGAAATATAACTCAAAATTTTATGTTGTAAAAATTTTTTTTTAATTAAAAGAAGGTGTATATAAGGATAATGGCACGATTATCACAATGCAGTTACTTGAATACAGGCTCGTTACTGTGTTCAATCGAAGGAAGTGTGAGAGCTACATAACAAAATAAAGAAAAATTAAAATTAATAATCACAGCACCTGTGCCACGATAAAAGTAAAAAAACTGAAACTGATGAAGCTGTTTTTCAAAATGGTGAATCTCGTGTTTTGATACGGCCAAAGTCCTATTACTGTTAAGAGAGTTCTAGGGAAACTGTAATACGCCAGTACTTCGACCATCGCGTACAATGGTTCAAGAACTACTGACTGCTCGCTTCTTCG